TGCTGCCTAATAGGCTTTTTGAAAGTAGGACAAAGGGTATGGGTGCAATGTAAACAAAGAGAATGGGTGCAATGTTAACTAGTGAATCTCTTTGGTGCAGTGTGCATTTCAATAATTTTCCCTTTTTATGTTTTGATTATTGTAAAAAAAATTAATCTCGCAAATCTGCCTGTGCATAATGGCTATTTTACCCTTACCTGAACGAATTTGTTGTTACTGAATTTGAGCACATATACATGAGATACATATTTTGTGAAGTTTACTCATAGATATGTCACCCAATAAGTTCTTAGTTTTCGTATAGAAGACCAATAAATTTGCTTGGTTTTGAATGGAGGTTTTGAGGTATGTGGGGGTCGTGGATGCTGTTGAGAACGAGGGGCGTGTTGAATTGAGGAGATATCCCAAAGACCATGCTTTTGCTCAATTGTCGGGCTCTGATAACATCATCGCCTTCACTACTTCGAGATACAGGCAACAGCCTCTCATTGTAAGGGGACCAGGTGCTGGGGCAGAGGTCACTGCAGGTGGAATTTTCAGCGATATCTTACGGTTGGCCTCCTATTTGGGTGCCCCATCTTAGCGCGCGCTCTGTGTGTGTGTGGGTAGCATGCTGTATTTTTAATCGTTGTGGGGAAGACCTGTTTTTTGCGGTCAAGTGAGTGCTATTTCCCATTGTTAAATTGTTGACAAAGGTATCAAGTTGTGAGAACTGAGTCATCTTTAGTTAGGCTGTTTTGTGTGCACTTGGGTCCTGATGCTATTTAAAAGGTTTAGCTTCCATTAGGGACACTCTTTCCTGCATGCTATATTTTGTTGTTGGGATTGAAGTAGCACAGTTAATGGCAATTTACTTTATATAATGGGAAAATATGTCCTTATTCCTTATATTTGACTTCTATTACATTGAAAATATTACTTGTAGTATAGGGTCTTTATCTTTTCTATCTTCCAAACCCCTGTATTTCTTTGACAATAAATTTTTTATCCAAAGAAATACTAAAATTACACCGTATCAAAATTCTTTTCTGTTTCGTTAATTTCACAATCTATCTCTCAAAGTACCATATATCTATTTCTCTCTCTCTCTCTCTCTCAAATTAGTCTTTCTTTCAAAACTCTCTTTTTAATACTCAAAGTTGTAGAGAAGTTTCTCTCTTTAAAAACACCATGTTTCTATCTAGCCGTTTTTGCAGCTCCAATATACCATCAATTCTCTCTAAAAATACCCATAGATCTGAAGCTCTTTTGCACTGTTGCAACCCCAATCCACCAATCATTTGGAAGTCGCAAAATTGAGCCTCAAACATGGTATATTCATTCTCTCTTAAATACACAAAACTGATACAAGAAGTTCCTCTTTCTACATAATCTCTCTCTCTCTCAAAATGCAACAATGTCTCTCTATCTAGCCCCTTTTGCAGTCCAACATACTATAAATTCTCTCTCAAAAGCCCATAGATCTGAAGCCTTATTGTCATGTTGTAGCTCCAATCCACCGATTATTTGGAGGTCAGCCCTAACCCACTGATCATTTGGAGGTCACAAAATGGTATCAATAAATTTCTTTGTGGAATTTATTAGCAATTTTGGATATCAGAGAGAGAGATATGGTGTTAAGAGAGATAGACGGTGAAATTAGCTGAAAAGAAAATAGTTTTTAGATAGTGTCAGTTTAATATTTTTTTGATTAAAAAATACATGGTCAAAGTGGTTCAGGGGGTTGAAAGATAAAAAAGATAGAGATCCTATATTACAAGTAATATTTTCAATCTTTAGGTTTAAGTAAAAAATGGGGGATAAGGAGATAATTCCTCCTTCATTATTATGTAAGTGAGTTTTGTACTTTTATTTATTTGAAGCTTAAAGTAGAACATATCATTCCTTCACAAGACATTCTTGTTTTTCATTTAGAAAATTGCCTTAATTTTTTTTTTCCAGGAATGTGAAAACAATTCTTTTAGCGCATTCATGGATCTAGACTTTAGTCAACCCGCCGGTTCAGGCTACTCATAAAATGAGTGACCATGACCATGACCATGATGAATATGATATCTTTTATTTTGTGAATGAAGAAAGAGAAGAGCTTTGATTGTTAGAGAGATATATGGAGGTTACACGGAGAGGAAAGTGAAGAATAAATGTATTATGAATATATAAATCGGTGAAAGCCCTGCTATGCTTGAACAGGTGTAGAATAGTTGGGTTAAAATTGCGTAGCTGATGAGGAAAAGGGGGATAAGTTTGAAATGGTTGGCAGAGAGAGAAAGAGAGGTGGTTTGAAGATGGGTTTGGTCTTAGAGCACGTCTCTTATATTTCCACGGGAGCATTTTGTACACATTCTTCTTTTGGTTAGAGGACTTGGGAGGCCATCTAAGAATCAGGATCATTTTCAAAATAATTAGAAAAAAAAACATTGAATTTCGAGTTTTCTGCACTTGAATCTGTCCAGAAATTCAACACTCTTATGTTCAATCTTCAGACACTAACTTTTCAAGTGCACGTACGGTAGAATTTGGAGATTTTTTTTTTATTGTGGTTGGTCTATGTAAGGGTGGGAAACGGGTCGTCTCGGGTTTGGATTTGGTTATGGATCTTATTTCTGTACCCAAAGGTTCGATTCTGGGTCTAGAAGTAGGGACCTGACATTAGGTCAGCTCTGATCGGGTTTGGGTCTAGGTTGATCCGACCTGTATTGTATGGTTTAGACTTACTATTTGTTCTATTGTAATAATATTATCTTTTATAAATTACTATTATTCATCATATTTTTTATTCAATATATGACAATTTTTGATATAACCCGACCGGTTGGGTCAATTACTGCTTATTTTTCGTAACACTTTCTCTCTCTCTCATTTATGCATCTAACTCTCAGCAATGAAAAAATAGTCGAAGGGAAAAGAGAGACGTTTTCCATAAGAAATATGATAACTATGCTCGGTTTGTATAAGGTTTCAATCTCATATAGTCAAAGTAAGGTGTGCTTCAAAGTCTTGCTAAGAGATGGAGTTTTGGTGTCTAAGATCGCCTAAAATTTTATTTTCACATTTACTTGTAAAATTTTAGAGCTCTAAAATAGTGTTAGATTGAGTAAATCTATAAACACTTAAATTTTTTGAACATAGACAATCTAAGAGTATGTTACAAAATGGATTATTTTTTTCTATGTCTATATATCTCGAGGTAAATCAATTATTGGGTTTTTCAAAGTTGGAATAACTATCTTTGAAGTGTACTTTACTTCTATAGTATAAAATTGGTACCTTATATAAACTTCTTTCTTTCTAATTTATAGAAAAGCAAAAGGGTATTTTCTTCAGTATAATTGTAGTTAGCAAATTAAAAAAACAATAAGAAGAAAAAAAGCTTTTATTTCTTAGAGGTGTAGTTTATATAAGGTGCACACCTTACATAATGAAAGTAAGGCGCATCTCCAAACCGTGTTCGAAGATGTAGTTTCATGTTTAATTGTTTTACAATGGTTTGAAAATCCTTTTCCAATCTTAATTATGGAATTTAAAGCTTAAAAAATAGTGTAGATAAAATAGATATACAAACACTTTAAAATCTTGAAAATCAACAGCTCAAGACTCCAAATAATGTGTTACAACATATAATATTTTGAAGACTTGAATTTTTTACATATCTGGCATTTTTGAGGTCGAGTTGATCAATTATAGATTTTTCTAGCTTCAGACGACCTCTTTCGATGGATATTTTGTGGTGCATCTCACTTCTATGCTATAGGGGTAACACCTTATATGAACGTTTTTATTTAGAATCATGATAGGTCACTTGGTCTTTTATTTAGAAGGCAAGATCTATATATAATATGGGCAAGCATTTTATGTTTTCTCTACAGCATAAAACTCATACTTTCCCTTATCCAATTGTCTATTCTAAATGGAGGGCTAAGATTGCCCCAATCACAATATCACATCTCTATACTATTTTATTTTTAATTTTTTGTTATAAACCATTTTAACACCAAATTTTGGATGTTCAATCTTCGTTTAAACTCACACTAGCGAAAAATATAAAAAAGATATTTTCAATAAAATAAAATGATCAAAATATCCATGAAAGTTTCAAGGGGTATTTTGGTTGTTATATTTTATTGAAAAATTATTTTTAATATTTTTTTATAGGTGCGCCCCAATGAGAAGATGACACTTATCGAATTTCATATTCATATAATTTGTATAAAATAAAATAAAAATAAAATACTTTGAGAAGTTGGATCTAAGATCAAACGGTGAGTGGCTCTCTTGATCAAAATTGGACGGTTGGATGGTAGGGGGAGGATAGTTCTTCTATGCTATAGGAGAAGTATAGAAACCTTTTCCATATAATATGACGACCTTTTAGTTGTAGTTTACAATGTAGATTTAATACGCCTTCTAAAATAATCTCAAAAATTTCATATTATCTTAGGGAAATGACCTTGTGAGATCATCCCACATCCATTTGTGTAGAGCCCCAAAGGATCACTATTAAATTTGACATATATCTTTAGAAAAGTCAAGTCCCACACCCATGTGATAACTTTTTTAGAGATATGTACCAAATTTAATGATGATCCTTTGAGGTCCCACATACATAAATGTGAGAGGGTCTTGTAGGACCATTATTCTATCTTAAAACATATGACCATTTACCAATAAGATAGTAGCCTTTTATAAACTTTTTCTTTATTTAAATATAAAAAAGTCTTCTATGCATCGGGGGACACTTTCCTGCATTTTTGTATCTCGAGGCATAAACCATGCATACCAAAGATTGAGGTAAATGGTAGTTCCTTTAAAATAATTAAAAAGTTCCTTAAATTTTTTTTTTTAGTTTTAAAAGGGGAAAAGTTAATATAGAGCCGAGGCTCTAAACAATCAAATTTGAGCCTACCTTAAGAATTTCACTAGAAGAAGTTATTTTGATGCTCAAATATCTTCAAATTGATCATCTCGACATCAAGATGTATGACCATGAGAAAAAAATGGATTGCAAGTTTCGAAAATAGTGTATTTTATAACGCATTTTTAGACCGTTAATTTTCAAGATTTTCAAGTTTTCATAGATACGTCGATCTACCCTACTTTTGAAGGCTTTAAACTTTATAAGTAAATATGAAAATAAAATTTAAAGCTATCACAAAGATTTTCAATATTAAAACCACATTTTTGGACACTATATGATGGTAGGCTCAAATTTGATTGTCTAGAGCCGAAGCCCTGTACAAACCACACCCTTTTAAAAATGTACATATTTTACATATGGGCGCGGTTTCTATAAGGATGCAACCTTAAACAATCCAATCAAGGCGCACCTTAAAATTTTATCGTAACATGCAATTTTGTTATAAAAAATTCTTAGTATTGTCTTAAAATCTATTTTCATACCTAATTAAAAAATTTTGAATTATGAAAATAGTTAAAATCAAGTAGATCTATAAATAGATGAAAATCTTGAAAATAAACGGTCTACATAATATGTTGCAAGATGAACTATTTTCGGGACACAAATTTTTTTTTTTTTTTTCATATTTATAAATTTCAATGTCGAGATAATCGATTAGAAGGTTTTTTCAAGATTAAAACAACATTTCCGATAGATTTTTGAGGTGCATAAGTAATTCTACATTTTAAGGTTGCCACTTTATATAAACTTTTCTTTTTACATATTAATTTTACGTATTAACGATCTCCATGTTAGAGATTGTACATTCCTTCAAAATTTGCGCTAAAGATCCATTTCACAAATAGATTATTAGTCCGTCATATTTGTACGAATGAGTCTAGGGACACGTAAAAGTCGTGTCTAGGAGGGAGGTCATGTCTTTTTTCTTGGATGTGAATTTTCCATTGATTTAAAAAATGCCCGGTTGACATGGAA